CGGACAGTTCGCCTGGATAGTAGAATTCACTCTCAGAATGTTAACTTTCATCACTCATCTTGAAGAGAACAAACTTTTGCAGCAAAAAAAATTGTTTTTTGTCATTAACTCCCATCGATTTTGCTGTACGCGTTTCTAGTAGGGCCGTACGCATTTCTAGTAGGACCGTACGGGTTTTTCTGGCCCTATCACTTCGACGTGTACGGCCCTCATACGGGACCTTTTTTCTTATGGTTTTCCAAGGAAATTGCGCGCGGGGCCGTACGGGTCATATGATAAACTTTTTTTAACACATCTGTTTTGCAATCGTAAGGTGTTTCACGAACCTAAGGGGGAAGGAGTGTTTTTTAGTGTGGCGTATAAGTCACGTGTCAAGTTTTAGCAAGTCTTACTACCCAACGGGATCATGTTGCCACGGAATAATTCTATTGGAGAGATCTTTAATCCCGCTGCAATTTTCCATATAGCAACAACAATCCTAACAACGTTATTTGCTTTCTTATCAGTCACATATTACTTATCACGTAACAAAAATGAATTTATAATTCTGACTTTTTTCCTTTCTTAGTTGCTCGGACCTGCAAGGAACTATATAACAATAATTTGTGAGTAAACTGTACTTCAATTGGCAAAAAAGAAACGTACTCATTTTGGGAGAAACTAGCCAGTACAATCACTTTAAAACTGCACTTCTCCGTTAAGCTAAAAATGATTGCCCTGTATAGAGATCTTTCGACATAATGTTTTGATCGCTTGTGTTTCAGGGCTGAAGGTAACAAAGCTTACCCTCTGAAATTGGGATCGGTAATTCTTCCGGTATACTGTCACATGACCTATGATCTCGGAGCTTGCGGAGGTGGTGGTTGGACGCTGGTCATGAAGATAGACGGTAAAAAGGTATCCAATAGAAGCACACTTGTACTCCGTAACTCTTCCAAGAGGGTGAAGGATAACAGAGTTAATCTCCCACAGAGGCCTTGTCCCTCTTAAGATCGGTTAATATCACTCCGGCTTCAGAAATCCCAAAAGGGCCTAGCATTCAAAAAATCCTGGAAGACATCCACAGCATTCAAGAAATCATGGCTTCAGAAATCCGGGAAGGGTCTAGAAATAGGCAATCCTGGAGGGCATATTTTGCTCACTTGAGCAGCCCAAGAGGCTTTGCACGCATTTTCATCCTCCTGGAAAACATCTAAGCAACGTACGTGATAGCATTATCCGTGGAAGAACTGGATACTATATTACCTTGGGAATAATGCCTATGTGCCAGAACAACTCTCCCTTCATCCTCTCTTGAGTACAGTCACGGCACCATTGAAATTATAGGTAAACAATGTAAAATTTTAATTAACTAGACTTGAATTAACCATAAGGAAAATTACGTGTTCATAATGAACTCAGAAGTGACTCATGGACAACTGATTGGTATTCTTTCCCAGGACAGCTTCCATTTTGACTCGCCCTATTGGAGTGATAAAAATGTAACCAACCTTTTAGACGGGGAGAATGGGTTTGACGGCAACGAGACCAAGCTACCGACCTATTGGAACACACCCTTCTCCAAAATTTGTCTCGGTATGAGGATTGGCCAGAAGATTAACTTCATTGGCATCGACAAGGAGGCTAACTCTCTGTATTCGCTGATCTCTGATGGACAATACCGCGCTACCTCACTAGGTCGTGACACGTGGAAGTCGCTGATTGGGTCCCAAGCCACCCTACAGACTGCGTGTTCGCGTGAAGGATTTAACTGTGGTTGTTCTGTGGAAGCAGCATCTAAAGCGAGGATCGGAATTGTTGCCAACAATCAACAAAAGTGCGACACTTGTGATTCCAAAGTAGGGTTTGGCACAGGAGGATACACTGATGGCAATAACACTTGTGGAAATGTGGGACCGTATACATCAGGTAATGGACACAAAAACTTCAAAGCCATGGGATACATCTTGGTTCAGTGAAAAGAACTGTCACTGATCTATATACTATTCTTAAATGACATGATTGTTCACACAGGCTGCATTCAAGTGCAACTGCACTTGTGGTTCAAGTAAACACAGAGGTCGAGATGGAACACTGAGTAAGCTTTCATTCACAGAATCACTGTTAGAATCAGCAATTACACCGCAATTAACATTTAGTTGTACCTCATGAAATTGCGCACAATAGCTTTTATTTATAAACGGCCGCATACTTGGGTTTTATGCACAGACCTCCCTTTACGCCACTTTGTACACAATAATAAAGAATACCACTTGAAAGTACCACTCAATAACTTACATTTGAAAGGTCATACATGTATGGAATTTAAGGTTGGAGCGAACTTTTTAGCAATAACTTTCATTTGAATGGTACAATAATAACTAAGGTTTCATTGACACACGTAAAACTTAGGTCACTCAGGAGAAACAAAGTTTCACCGTTCCAGAAATGAACGGGTTCACAAGGCAACAGCTATAAAAAGTAGTAGCTAAGAGAGAATAAGGAAGAGAACACATTCCTTGCCCAATATTTGAAATCTATTTGTAGTTTGCTCATTGGTAATTTGTAGAAAAAGCTGCCAAGTACAACATTAGATGACGTCAGTATAGCTAACCAATCAGGCGTCGACCTCTAAATAGATGTGGACACACATGTATTTAGATATTGAGACAAATAACAATAGGTTTCAAATAGCGTTCATCAGTTGAGGCCCAGGTTTGTGGCATCTATTTGTTTTCTCATTTAAGGCAGTTCTACACTTTCCAGTGTTCCTAACATGTTTCAATGTTTTGATGAGCAATAGCGGATGGGTTGATTGGTCTTTCTACATAAAATTGTCGAACTAAGCAGATAAGCTCTTCGTAATTTCCCTCTTCCTTTTCACTTTCTGATGGCGTTTTCGTCAAAAGTTCTTTGTTATCAGTAACATGTTTTTGTTGTTCGTCGTCTTCTTGACACCCGTTAAGCTCGAGTCTTGTAAATTGTTTTGGATGTCCTTTGTCCCTATAATGAGAGAAAACGAGCAGGCTCTTACGATAAGTTCGCTTATGTACGACAACATCTTGGAGCAGTTTGACAAGGAAATTACTAAACAGATATCACCAAAAACAAATTATTCGCATGCAGTAATGAAGGGTAAAGTAAATATGCACGCTAGTCATAAAGGTTCGTGTGTATACTGAGGAAAAAGCAAGTGGGATATTCCATGGTATAACAGTCGAAAGCGTTGCGTAACCACTGATTTACCATGCGCGGTGAATACCTCGAGTTGACACCGACCTTCCTGTGTTCTGATTGGCTGTATTTTTATGACATGGTAGAAAATAATTTACTGATAAACATGTAGGACGTGATATATTACACACTGTTGAGTGTTCAGTAAAAACGGTAGCTAAAGGATCTAATAAACAAAAACACTTGGGCATCATCAGACAGGGTAAGTAACAATTATCACGGTTCTACTTAACTTGCAAGGGCCTATTCCAAAATGGCCGCCATCGTCTTCAGTTCTCTAGTCATGTTTCTCAGTTAAAATAATAGTAGCTACGCTTGGCAATAGATGCAATAATATACTATTCTGCTAAGTTTTATGAGTTTCTTGTTTTGAAATCGCCCTTCAATGCTCTGGAAGACAAAAATTTACGGAAGCCGTTTTTTCGGACTGGGTTTATGGGCTAACTTACATTCCTCTGCTACAAAGCGTTGCTCTGTTTAAATTAGCCTGGTCAACATACTTGTCGTGATAAACATCTGAGAAAAGAAAGAAAGATAATGCTTAAGAAACCACTGCAAGTTGCAAGAAATTATCTTTAACAGAAACAACCTGTAAGAGAATTTGCATTTTGATAATGGCCAATTTTCTCCATGAGATGTGACCGCAGGGAATCATGGTAGTTGTATTCATCATCTTGTACTGGATATTTGTTTTAATGAATACAACTACCATGATTCCCTGCATCCCGTCCCATAGAGCAAATTGGCCATAAAATCAACTAATGATTTTGCATTGGTTTCATCCTAGTATGCTCGAACAGGAAAGAAAAATGGAGTTATACATACACTCTTGAAAGTTTCGAAGAACTCTTAAAATCTCTGAAAACATTTACCTATTGCTCGTGTTCGCGCAATATTTCTCGTTCTTCAAAATGTCCTCTCCTGGTTAATTTCATCGAGGACACCAAAGCCATGCAAACGGGTCAAACACACCTGTCAGGATACCTTTTAGTTGCTCATTCTAGTCTCATGTCACACGATAGCATAGGTTACACATTCATATGCAGCTGGCAATCGCATAAACTTCAAATAGATGACGATTCTGAGAGACTTATGGCGGGAAACGGATGTTGTGTCATGGGCCCGGATAAATTCTGCTCGTGTGATGGCCTATTATGCCTAGCGGTAGTGCTCGTTGAAATTGTCCCTGATTCTGTCGGTGATTCTCCTCAGACATAGCTTTTGCTCTCGTTCTCCTCGGAAAATTACTCCATAAACTATGTTTGCCTTTATTTCAGTGACAACTTCTTTTGGTCGATGCAATTTTCTTTATTATCACGAGTGATTGTAGTGCGCGAACTGCGTTTTGTTTTTGTTTGATGGCTTCGAATTGAATGGATGCTTTTTTTTCTTTTGTAATTTCATTACACCTTTAATGCTATACTTACTATACCTTCTAAATTTATCGTCAACTGGCTTCTTTTCTCTCTCCCTATCTTTTCTTCAGTTAAATTCAGATTGTTTTGCTAATTCTGCTCAAATTCTGTTAGGAAATCCTTTTTTTTCCGCTGGCCTCGATATACCTTAACTCAAATGGCCAAAATGCTACAGTGGTAGTTGAAATTCTGCCAATATAATTTATCCAAGCCTTGCTATTGTTAAGCACACAAGCTGTTTTCTCATTAGTTAGTCAGTATAAGGACAAAAATGATAAGAGCGCCAATTAGTGCGGTAAGGTGATTCAAGCTTAGATTCAAAATACGTGTGATGATTCATTGGAAAATTAGTCCGAGCTCAGTTCGCAGTTTGCTTGATGATGAAGGAACAATTAAGGAATATTCGCGTTCTTCAGATGACAAAAAAAAAAATAGTCGGAATTATACTACAAGAATAACAATATATGTTTTTATGCAGCATCGTTTATCAATATTTTTTATTTAGATTCACTTTACTTCACAGGTACAGAAAATAAAAAAAAACTACTTGCTGAATTTTTACAAGAAGTTTAAGGGGTGACAAATGCTGCTTACACTTCCTCATAATTTTTGTTTTCATATTTGTATTTCGTAGAAACGGGCTCACATTTAACGCTGTTGCTATTGTTTATTGATTGCGGAATGGCCCCTTCTCGCCATAAGTTTATACGTGCATGTATATGTTAGATCAAGTTTCCTTTGTCCTGGTTATAAACTCAACGGCCATAGGCCAGCCATAATTATAAAACGGCAATTCGGGGGGAATATTTCATATTTGATTGCAGCCAAACTTGAATCTATTGGGGACTGGAAAATAATCGGCAACGAATCAAAGGTTCAAGCAATTGTCTTACAAGCCTCGTGGGAAGAACACTTTAAGTTCCCATGCGTGCAAGTTTAAGATCAGATATTCGAGACATTTTGAGCAGGTACATCAACAAAAGCTCGCAAAAATATTGACAAAGTAGACTTGTCTAAGTAACATTACATTCATTTTCTTCAAACATCACCAGCTTATCGAAAAATTTTGTGTTATCTCCTTCCGCTGCCTTCAACACTATAAATATTTTAATTCAGTACCACTTCCAAAATTCCACTGATGTCGCCCTGTTTTTTTCATTCAAACTGAGTGATGTGTCTTGCAAAACGCAAAGTCGATTTTCTTTAACCTACGGCTATCGCGACAGGTGGAAATTCATCGATGGTTAGGCTGATGTTTCTGGTTCAAAGAATTTACAAAAGCGCTTTCATTCACGGAATAACAAACGGAAATATGAAGATAAAATTTGTTACCTTTTGAAGACGGGGGATCAGCGATGCGTGGAGCCTTCTGCGTTTCTGAAGAAGGCTGGTTTGCGATATCCTGAGATGCTCTTCGGTGAATATCTCCTCCATTTGGGGCATAAAGTTCGATGTCTACTAGGTTGCTACACGCCGCTTCCAAGCCTCTTTCTGTGTCTACACGGCTTCTTTCAGTCATGGCCAACAATGAATTCGCAAAAAATATATAATCGGTGGAAAATTTCAAACTTGGCTGACACCAAGAAGTGAGAAAATTTGAATATTTCTCGTAATTACGCGGTGATCCCAAACTTGCAGTAAAAGCAGTCGATCTTTCATCTCAAAACTCATTCACCCGTTTGATGTTGTGCCACAACATTCATTTCCATTGGTTTAAATCAACTTGTCGTGTTTTGAATAATTAAAAAGACA